AATATATAATGATAATTTGGTCCCTCAAAATGTCATAATTTTTTAAAAGTCTCTAGGGAATTTTTTGTGACTAATAAATTTATATAAATTATCAAATTGCCCTTTGTTAAAAATAAATAACTCATAAGTTTTGTTAAATATTCATAATTTTTTTATATTCATAACAATGCAATAGCAATCACAACTTCGCATATTAAATTTTTTATTTACTATTACATTTTCACAAATATAAAAAGTTGTGAATATTTAAATAAAATTTGAAAATTATTTATATTCAACAAGGACAATTTGATAATTTTAAATTTTATATAAATTCATTAATGATAAAAAAGTTCTTAAAACTTTTAAAAAATTATGACATTTTGAGAGACTAAATTATTATTTATATATTTTAAAGGAATTTTATTGTCATTTTTTTAAATTAATGAATAAAAAATTAAAATTTTATTATATCTGAAGGAGAAGATCCCAGCACAGCCGGCAACAAAATCAAAGATAAGGATATCACATGGCTACCACATGCTTGTGTCATTCAGCCATCAACCTTCTCAAGTAAAAACAAAAACCATAAAAAGAAAAAGACTTGAAAAAAAAAAAAGAAAGAAAGAAAGAAAAGAAATGGCCCTCTTCTCTCCCCCCTCTGTTTCTTCCTTCGTCTTCTTTAGGATCCGTTTCCAGGCGCACACATGACACATCTCTGCAAAACACACATGACACATCCATATATGGTGATGCCAGAACAAGTTCAACATGGATGCCAGAATTAGCAAGTTAATTCCCTTCTTTCTTTGCCACTCTAGACAATATCATCCGCTGCAGATATTTTTGAATCTTTTATCACATTATAATACTTATCATAACACTTTTCTTTCTTTTTTCTTTTAAACTCTCTCCATTTAAAAATATAAAAATTTATATATATATTTTTTAATAATATAGGGTATTAATATCTACTTTATGATTTTCAAAAAGAAAATGTTAATAAAACCTTACTATGTTAAAAAAGATTCTAACTTTTCAGTTAACTTCTCATTAAACATCCCATACATTTTCTTTGAACTATAATATAAGATACATTTTAAAAATTTACATAATTCAAAATATAGGATATTAAATAGTTTTTATAATTAGTTATCCAACTATATTCCTAGTTCATATAAATCTTTTTGAAAAAATGGTGCATTGAAATTTCATTTAAGAAATTAATGCTTCACTTAATTGTTCTTTAAGAATTGTGAAGTAGCTTTTTTACCAAAATACTACACACAGTAAAAACAATTGTCACGTGTGAAGTATTTCACAAAATACTACACTAGAAATTATTCATAAGAAAAATGAGTTTGAAATTCTGAAGAAATCGTTCTCACCTATAACGATTTTAGAGTTAAAAACTTATTTTTTATTCTATTAAAAATGAAGTCATTTATTACTTGAATGATTTCAACTTATTATTATTGATTTGACATTCTATTCCCAATCCTTGCTTTCTTTAATCCGTGATCATTTTATCAAGATCTTCAGAAACCCTCCAAGCCCTAGCTTTTGCTTTTCATGTGAGAATAAAAAAATTCGTGCACATTGGCTATATAAAAGGTTGAAAACATGAAGATGTGATGATAAAGGTGAAGCCAAATAGTGTGAGGTAATTTTTGCTCTTCTCATTTCATTCATGCATTAGTGTGATTGAATATAATATTATTTGCTCTTATTTATTTAGTATTTTAACATTTTATTCCTACTATTTTCATTCTTTTTTTTTTCCTGCCTGCTTCATTTCTCGTGCTCTATCATTTTTTTCTTATTCAAACTTAAAGTTCTTTATTTTATTTTATTTCTTTACTCCAGTTATTAGTGTTATTATTATGATCGAAGTTTAAATTTTATTTTCTTTCTTTTTATTTGGTTAAAGCCGAACTCTCCATCTGATTAAGGTACATTTTCTTAATAATTTTGTCAATTTTTATATTAAAGTTAATATTTTTTTAGTAAAATCTTAATGTTTAATCATTAATGTTTTGTATGTTAAGTTTTTCTTAATTATAGATGTAGTAATGTAGTTAATATTTTTATAAAATAATCGAGGTAGAATCAGCATAAATGTAAAAAGGGTCAAATTTTTAAAATTAATATACAATCTTCTATATTTTTATTTGTTTTTAATATTTATACTAATTAATTGCTTATGTAAGTTTATTACATTAAAAATCTGAGAGAATAAATTACATATAATATTAATCATAACAAAATATAAACAATATGGGAAAACCTTATCAAATAAATAATATACAACAATTTTAAAAGTGAAATTATATATCTATAATATCAATCATAAAAAATATAAATAGTATAGGAAAAAATTATCAAATGAACAATATAAAAAAATTATACATTTTTTAAGTAATTGATATATAAAAAAATATACATATTATAAATATGGTAGATCCTCATACGTTTTTGGTCTAGGGACAAGGGATAGACAACAAACAAACACACACAAATATTAGGACTCGGCTTCCATCTTTTGATAGAAGCCTCCTTACCTTTCCTTTGAGGCAAAAGTTTAATTTGGATGTACATATTTAATCTGAACAGTCTAGATTTAATTTTTTATTTTTAATTTATATTTTTAAAAAAAATATATAAAAATTGTAAATTTTTTAATAAATATACTAATCAATATAACAATTCAGATTTAATATAAATATTCTAAATTTAGTATTAATTTTTTTAATAAATTTACTATTTTGTTCAAAATATATTTAAACTATCCAGAATATGTCTGAAAACTTAATTTAACTTTTTTATATTAAATTTAGATCATCTATATTAAATCTAAACTTTCTATTCATAAGTATATTTATTAAAAAAATTTAAATTTTTTATATTTTTTTATTTTAAAAATATAAATTAAAAATAAAAATTTTAAATCTAGATCAACTTGATTAAATTTGGATAGTCCAAATTTACCTCTACCTTAAAGGAGAGGTAGAGAAGGCTTCTCTCAAAGGAGAGAAGTTAACTCCTATATATATATAGATTATATAATATAAGTTTGTGTTTGTAGTTAATTTATTAATAAAAAGATTTATTACATATAAAAATATTAAATACACATAAAAAGGTTATTACATATAAGTAATTCTTCATTTGGTCTTAAATATAAAATTTAGACAATTAATTTATAAATATTGCAAAATTAGTTAAGTTAATTTATTTTTATAATTTAATTTTATTGGGATGTTAATTGTATAGTGTAATGTTTAAGAAGTAAAATGGATAATAGAAAAGAGTTTGTGTGTATATTTGCACTGTCTAACTTTAACTTTGCTACTACGTCTTCATGTTTTTAGCTCCTTAAATAGCCAATATGCATGAATTTTTTAATCTGCGTGAAAAGCAAAATCTGGGCTTGGGAAGTTCCGAAGACTTGACAAAATGATCACGAGGTGAAGAAGGAATGAGTGAAAATAAAATTCAAATCAGCAATAATAAATTAAAATTGTTCAGGTAGTGAATGATTTCACTTTTAATGAAATAGAAAATAATTTTGACTTTAAAATCATTTTAGGTGAGAAAGATTTCTTCAAAACCTCAAACTCATTTTTCTTATGAACAATTTTTGATGTAGTATTTTGGAAAATATTTTTCATGTTACAGCATTTCCACAATTTTTTTACTATGTGTAGTATTTTGGTAAAAAAACCACTGTGAAGCAATTATCAATGTCATATATTATGAGTCAAAGGAAGTAAATGTCATAATAATAACAATTAAAATTTCAATACATCATCCTTTCAAAAAGAATAATAAATGAGTTAGAAGCATAGTTAAAAATAATTATAAAAATGACTTAATATTCTATATTTTGGATTAAATAAAATTTTTAGAAAATGTCATGTATTGTGATCCAAAAGGAATACAAAATAAAATATACGTAATTTTATTAATTTTTGGATCCATACAAATTCTATAATGATGCATTTTATTTTAAATATTATTGATATTGAGAAAGGCCTCATTAATTTAAAGAAAAAAAAATGAGATTTAACCATCGATGATCATCATAGAATTCAATCGAAGGAAATTCAGCTAAATTTGACCAGGATCAAATTAATTAAGTTTGGACTTATCACTAGAACTTATCGGTGGCTACTGATAGTTATAAAGTAGTGAAAGAAATTTTATTTCCCTTAATTAAAGTTTAGAAGATAATCATTATGAATATAGCCCAAAAAAAAGAAAACTTTACATTAGAAAGTTAGCCAATTGGACCAATACCGTTTGTACTTTATTTGAACATTACCCAAAAGATTGAATATTAGAACGGCATAAAGCTGCCCATCTTTCCAAAAATCACACTGAGAAACCCTTCTCATTTGGACCTCCGACGCATCTTAAATTTAGACTTTCCAATAAATCTTGGAATATCCGTCGGTTATTTTTCATTTTTCTTTTTAAAAAAATTAAAGTTTTAAAAATTGAATCAGTTATTAAAATGAATTAATCATTAATTCACGATTCATTAAATTGTAATTGAATCAATTAACGTTAAATTAATATATTTTTTTAAATTAATATATTTTTAATTTTAATTTATGTATCATAATTAAATAATATATATATGCAAATATTTACATTTTTCAATAAAATATTAATAAATACTTGATAAAATGATATATTGTTAATAAATACATTATTAATATTAATTATTTTTAGCTGTTTTTTGTTTTAATTAAATTTTTTAAACTTTTAAATAATTCAAACCAATTTTTAAAAAAATCAGTCTGATTTTCAACATATTCTTTTGACTTTTGACCAATTTTTTCAGTTTTTAATCAGTTCTCTCATAGTTGATTTTAAAGAATCAACTGAACTAAATTAAAAGCTAATTTTTAATTTAACTGATTGAATCAATCAGTTCGATTTTTAAAACATTGAAAAAAAGGAAACAGATTGTGAAAGTTTAAAAAAAAAAAAGATGAAACGTTCATGACACAATCTAAACACCAAACAAAACAAATTCACTTCGCAGTTTGCACAATCCCACAAACATAATAACATTACAAGGCAATATTTTTCTCTCATTCCAACCCTCAAACAATTCCGTTTAGGGATGACACAATTTAAAAGGCACAAGAGAAGAGATCTTCACAACACAACATTCAAATCAAAGCAATAACCCAAATGATTCCTATGAACCAAGAATAACAATAACTAAAGGAAGAAAACGACGAAGAACGTAAAAAACGACATCACTCAATCACATAAAACGACATCAAGCAGCACTGGGGTTTTCCGCCGGCGAGGTCCACACGATGTCTTTAAGCGCAGGCCGGAGCTCTTTGCTGCAGAATTGATTGTATTCTAAGGTATCGCCGTTGTCCTTCTTCACCTCCACGACCAGAAACGACGGCGTCACGGCGTATATATCAGCCGCAATCGCCAGCTTCCCCTTTCTTCCGCATTCTTGTTTCTGCAACCTCACTCTTGTATCGCTCTTCTTCACGTTGAACCTCTCGGCTTTCGCCACCTCTTCTAGCTTCGATATCACGCTGCTCGCCGGCCTCGTTGTCACGAATCTCAGCTCCTCCTTCTCCTCCCTCTTCTTCTCTTCGAATAATGGAGATAAATCGAACCCCTCCGACAATGATATTATGTGAAACGCGTTCATTGTCGCCGGCGCTTGCTGGTTTGATTTGTCACAATCGAAGCCGAATTCCTGTTCCTCCTTCGTCACCACGCTCTTGGGAATGGATTTTTTGAACCAGGGTGAGTCCATGATTTTGGAAATAGTGATTCGGGTACTCGAGTTCGGGTCAAGAAGCTTTGTTATCAGCCGGCGAGCGTCGGAGGAGAACCATGGAGGGCATTTGAAGTCTCCCCTGTAGATTTTCCGGTACATAGCCATCAAGTTGTCATCCTGGAAGGGCAAGAATCCGGCAAGAAGCACATAGAGGATAACCCCACAAGACCAGATATCGGACTTAGCGCCGTCGTAGCCTTTCCTTCCGATTACCTCCGGTGCCACGTACGCCGGCGTACCACAAGTGGTGTGAAGCAACCCATCTTGCCGCAAGTGCTCAGCAAAAGTGCTGAGGCCAAAATCAGTGACCTTCAAATTCCCATCTTCGTCGAGAAGTAGATTCTCCGGCTTGAGATCGCGGTGGTAAACGCCGCGACTGTGGCAGAAATCAATGGCGGAGATCAACTGCTGGAAATAGACTCGAGCCACGTCTTCCCTCAGGCGGCCTTTGGAGATCTTGTTGAAGAGCTCGCCGCCTCGAACGAGCTCCATGGCGATGTAGATCTTGGATTTGCTGGCCATTACCTCATAAAGCTCAACGATGTTGGGATGCTCCACCATCTTCATCACAGAAATCTCCCTCTTGATTTGCTCCATCATGCCTACTTTGATCACTTTCTCTTTGCCCACCACTTTCAGAGCCACGCTTCCCCCGCTCTGCAAGTTCTTGGCATGGTAGACCTTGGCGAAAGTGCCGTGACCCAGAAGACGACCGAGCTCGTACTTACCGTGAAGCAACGAAGAATGACAAGAATCTTTGGCTTTCTCTCCCATGTTTATCGATCAAGGAGAGATCAAACCTCAGTAGAAATTACAAGTGCGAAATCTGAACTGGGTATATTTACAGATGAGCGGAATTACAAACAGATCGAAAGTCGAAACGAAGAAACGGAGTGGGTTGCCTGAGGTTCACCCGTCTTCGACGTGTTTCCGGTGGCAATTTCTGCCGCCGATTCTTCGCTTGGTGGGCCCACCTACTTCAGATTTGGTCAGCGCAGGTCCTCTCATCTCTCTGCATTCCCAGAGAAACACGAGAACGGAGAGAGCAAAAGCAGTTTTATATTTTTGGTAGAAGCTGAAGTAGTTTTTCTGCGCTCTTCTTCCTTGGAGTTTCACTCCCGCTCGCTCACGTTACGTTATATAATGAAATTTTATCGGTTGAATTACGGTTTTGCCCTCGAAGTGCAGTTGCTTGGAAGCTGATGATCCGATAGCTATGGCCTGGGAGGAGATGATCTGACGGTTGTGGATTTGACTGGGGAAACCTTGATGGAATAGGATGACGCCACGTTGCCAGGCAGTCAAATAATGTTGGGATTTGCTCAAAGCCTCAGATTACTTCGGACCGAACGAGACTTTGGTCAGTAGCCGACTTACTGGTGCATGCATCAACTAGGACTTGCAATTTCATTTTTCCATACAAGAAAAGTAAGAATTGTTTTCGTCCAAGATATATAATCAAATAATTTTTGCAAAGTAAAAAAATAAAATAAAATAAGTGCATTGATTGCTAGCACTTCTTCAAAGAAATTGTTGAAAATTTAATCCTCTTTTCTGGATATTTTGTGGGAGATAACTACAACAAAGATTAATTTTTAATCGAATAAATCTAGCTGAGAAAAATGTATTTTATAGTCACATGTGTTGGTAGCTGAAGGAGTTATAATCACTTAAATGTGAGGTTGACTAATAAAAATTGGTTCAGTTAATAATAATTAAACCCATAACACGTAAAGTTTTCAAATCAAATTTTATTATTTAAACGAAGACTTTACTAATAAGCCATATGTAAGTATTTTTATTTTTTTTAACTTTAAACATGTTATGGCACCGGTTAGCTCATGCATGAAACTCACCCAACTTTTTTATTAAAAAATGAAGTTATGTGAATGAAAAAAAAATAAAATTTATTTTTAATTATATCCAACAATATTGGATATTCAGGTAAAAAAATGTTTTGTTCTGGATCCATGCATCAAATATAATTTATAATATCAATTTCCATTTTCTACAAATTTAAAACAAGAAATTCCTTTCATGTAAAAAAAAAAAAATTAACTGTTTCCAGACAAGTTATTGTGATTACTCATTACTGAAAAAAACTGCGGCCGCCTCACAGATCCACGTATCGAGTAGAGCAATGATCTCACAGCAATTTCATTTTCTATAACTCAATGATGAGATTTTTTTTTTTTTGTTGGATAATTTTTCATGGCCAAGTTTTCATCATTACTCAAAAGAATATACCAAGCATTCTATTATAACAGTATTTTTTAAATTATCTATTATTCAAAATTATTAGAAGTATTGTTCACATAAGAAATATCAAGTTTTATTTCCACCGAACCTAAACACCAGCGATAACGATAAAGATAAATTTTAAATGATACTTAATTAATTTCGTCATATTTATAAGACAATTTTAACCACAATTCGTGGATTAAGAAATGTAGTTACAATTAGTTAAGAATTTTAGTTTTTTTCTCAAAAAATTATATAAAAATTTCAAATTAACCTTAATTAAAATTATTCACTTTCACTTTAAATTTTAAAATCAAACATGCAACTCAAATGAATTATGGTCTTATATTATTGATCAAATAAAACTTTTAAAATGTATCTTATAGTAAGGATAGGAAGAAGTATGCTATAATATTTTCCAAAAACTAATATTTTCTTAAAATTTTAGTAATGTCTCAAATGAATATTTTAAATTTAATAAAAAAACTGAATTAATTTATATTGTTTTTGAAATTGTTATAGTAAGACTTAATGTGTTAATTATATTAATATGATTTTTTAATTAAATTAAGTAATGTAAATTTTAATGTATTAATAATATTAATAACAAAATTTTGTTATAAAATAAATATTTCATTACAAAACTCATTTGTCTTAATTTAACTAGAAATAAATAATTTAAGTACATAAGATTAAATTTTTCACGGATATAAAAATTGTAAAATGATGAAGTGCACGTTTGGTTTAGTGATGAAAGCTTTTATAATCTCATTTAAACTCATATAAGTGATTATGAAGTTTGTTTATATTGTTTGATAATTTTTGAAAACCTGATCAATTGTGATTTGAATTCTTTACTACACGTTGAATAGAAGCTACCCAGAAGTACTTCTGCATTCAGAAAATGAAGATTGTTTTTTATTAAATTATATTTGATAATAAAAATGATGTAAAATTAAACAACTTCATAAAAATTATACTCCATCTGTTTTTATTTACAAGAAAAATTATCATTTGTAGTTTATTTTTATATAAGTAAAATCTTAGACATTTATTGCAAATTTTTAAATTATTCATAATCATAAAAAACAATTAATGCAGGTTTAATTAACATAATTAATAAAGAATATTGTAGTTTAAAATTTTTATTTTCAAACATAACTAATATAATTAATTAATTTTTTTAAATTATGTGATATACTTTTTCTCTCCTACAAATACAAATGGAGGGAGTACATTTTATGTAATCATATATCCAAATGTAATTTTGATTAATATAATCTAAACATAATAAAATTTTTCATAATCACTTATTTTAAAAAAAATCCAAACAAAAATTATAATTTATCAATATCACTTTTAATTAATACTTTTAAAAATCATGATTATTTATAATTTCATTTCTTTAACTCTAAGTAGTTGAAATTAAATAAGGGGAGTGATAATAGTATTTGGAGATGAGGTGACACGTGTAGGCTTTGCAGTGGAGGGAGGGTTCTCCGGTTGTCAGTCAATTAGTACGTGACGGGTCAGAACTTAAAAGACCCTTCGTCCTAACTTAAGGGCATCAGATTGTGGTCCCTACATAATGCCATTATTGTTTTCTCAATCATTCACTCCCAATTTTGGGCTCAAAACCAATCATGATTTATTTAATTAAAGAATCAAATTATGCTTTCCCTTAATTAGATGCATGAGTGATCTAATTAATTTATTTAATTAAATCTTTTTCTATTACTCTATCATTTTTGTTCAAACAATTCAAAAAAAAAAGTAAATACGTATTCACTAACTTGCCATCTATACACAAGTTATTGGCTTGTCTTGCTTAATCTTGCAATTCTAATTCACTTGTCAATTGTGTATACATGTATTCCAACCGTTCCAAAAAAATGAAACATTTACTTAGGAGAGATATTAAAACATAAAATGTATTTTGACTCTTTCAAGATATAATTAATGAGATTTTTTAAAAAAAATATAATTAATTATGGTGTAGTTAATCAGTTTTTTAATTAAAATAATCTATTAAATAAGATTAAGCATGAAAAGAGTATGTAAATTAAAATATAATTAACTAATTCATGGAATGTAATTCAATTAAAAACTTAAAATGCTTTATCATATTGAATGGAGTAGATAATACTAGAAATTTGAGCAAGTTAGTCTTATTTGATTTAAGATGAAGTTTAAAATACTTGAACACATAAAAACTCATATACAACTAAGTTCGACTGTAACACTTCAGCCTTTTGGGTTTATTTGGGCTAACCCAAATACAAAAATGGTTAAATGTTATTTTATTTTATTATATTTTAGTTCATCTTAATTTTTATTTTAAAAATTAAGATTTTCAATATTATTTAATTTTAATTTTATTTTACTAATAATAAAAATAATTCAGATATTTAGGTTTGGCTTGAATTTTTTTGAGCTCATTTAAGTAGCTTTAATATGCTCAGAGCAAGAAAAAATTTCTAAACTTAAGATTTTTTGAATTTATTTGTATTGACCTTGGCCTCAATTACTAGCATTTGACGGAGTTAATTGTTACTACTTAAATTAACACATTTATTTGGAAATGGGATAGGTTTCACAACAGAAGCCATCATGATATATTTGTCCATTTACCAATTTCAATGTTATTTTAGGCACTCAGAATATATGTTTTGCCATTTTATATCAACAAACTAACGAGCCAGCACACAGAAATTTTGAGATTTTGCGGCTGAGAGTCAAACCAGTAGCTGCAAGTGGCAAAGTGGCATCTGAGCGTTTGTCTGAAGCCTTTTCTGTTTATGACTTGTGGTGTCTAAGGGGCAAATGAAAGTAAAGCGTTGACAAAAATACTTCGTAAATATATTATTAAAATAAAATATAAAATACTTATATGTTTATTTAACTTCAAAATGTAATTCCATTTTTACCTTCCTCTTAGCAAACCGCAATTCATAGTGAATTTGGTAATTCTAGTCAAGCTCAACAAATAATATCTTAAAAATTAACATCCTATTAATTAGACTAATGAAGGGATAATTTAGTAAAATTTGTGTGGCATGCAGTCAAAGAGGACCAATGAATGTTTTGGTTTGTGTTTTTAATCCTAAGTTCGGGCCCAGAGCAAAGTAGGGTCATTTGAACTTCAAAAAGGGAGAAAATTGCCAAGGACCTTCTTTGTGCCATATGTTATGGCATGTGTGATGTAACATCCCAGAAATCTAAGTATGATTAATTAAACTTAATGAGGCTAGTTAGTGAATTGATGAGACATGTGGCCAAAGGGGTTTAATAGGCGTGTTTATTGTGATTTCAGCCTTAAATGCGGGTTCAACTATTTGGGCATGAAAAGAGGAGAAAAATCTAAAGGAAGGACCTCTGTGCCACATTTTGCGACGTGCGCATGGTTGCACAGAGGCAAAATAATAAGGAAGAACCTCCTTATGCCATGAGCCATGGTGGAAGGCTAAGTGCGCCACAATACATGACCAAAATCTTGACTAAATTAGTGCTCATTTGTTCAAAAATTTAGAAGAGAAGGGAGGAAGAAAACATGAGGCATGACTTTGGCTCTGCTAAGGCACGTACATTAGGACCATTGGTGATACCTTGGAGCTTTCCAACACATAAGGTAAGATTATTAAACCCATCTCTTCTCCTTTCCTTCCATTTTTGTGAGGAATTGAGTTTGAGTTTGAGTTAAAAGTGTTACATGGTTGTTAAGTTTGTGACAGGTCGTGATAATTAGAGTATCATTATCACATGATTGTTAGTATTGTAGCAATGAGCATTATGATGTAATTGCAAGATATATGATGAGCTGGTACATATGTGATATGAAATAAATGTGTTTATGTGACTACATGATCAT